GTAGCTTTTTCACTGACGACCTTTTTCCTTCGAAAAGGCCTCGCATAGAAAACCTGAATTACTATAAGTGAGTGCTTTCTATCATAAGAATGCTGAGTTATAGGAAAAAGTCTTCACCCAAGGCGGGGCTCGAACCCGCATCACGCGGTTTCCGTGAAATTGTGCTTTTCTTTTCGCGGGACGCGGCTCAAACAGCTGTTGCGGCGGATAAATCCTGTTCTGTCTGCTTTCCTCTTACGTCGATCTCCTGATCGCTGATTTTTCATTTTCAATGTGCTCCATGCGCACGCTCAACAGCCTAAGTGGCATTACCCTAGTTTGGATCGCTATTTGGCCCTGTCTGCTCGTCTACCGCCCACTTGTTACTGTTATGTTGACATCAGATTGTAATTGCGGTCATATTCCTCAAGCTTCTTTCTCGTAGTCTGCCTGGTCATCCTCCAGAGCACCCTTGATAGTTACTTGCTTTGGGTGACCCTTCCCTGCGTTCTCTCTTCTCGTGCCAATCTTGCTCAGTGAACTTTTGTGCTACTGAAACTGCTTCAAGAGGAGCGCATGCGGTCCTGCGGTTTTTGGGTCCTGGGACTGTCGGGTGCGATTGCGTGGGTCCTAACACAGGTTTCCATGAGCATTACTACCTCATTTTTATAGCGCAGTTTGCGATTAGCTAAGTTCCTTCACCTCTGCATCTAGCTGACCTGCCTCTGCAACCAGCAGGGTGGTGTCATTTTTGCAGTTTGAATGTGCGAAGCAGAGTTCGAGCTCACTATTTAGACCCTCTAAATTAAAAGGGGTTCAATTGATTAGGAGGTTTTACAGGGCTTTTTTGATTCGTACCTTGCTGTTAATTAATTAGCGCTCTCTCATTCGTATTTAGACCCCAGTAACCACGAAAGAACAATGTGTGCCTTTCAACCTTTGATCCCTGTATTTTTGTGAGAGGTATCTATTTCAGAGTATGCGAATATGCGAATCCGGTAAAGAAGGGCCCACCACGTATAACAACGCTGCATAAGCAGGCTTCCCCCCCAAAATTCCCATCAAATATACCGATTCAAGTTGAAGGGGTAAATGTAAACGTCAAGGGCCCTTTTGGAAGAACTGCTCTAATGATGTTATGCGACAACTTCGAGAAGCCTGAAAGTCAGCTCATTGAGGAGGTGGACAAAATATGGGCGGCTGGTGGAGATCTGAACGTACAAGACGACGGTAAGTTGGCCATGAGTTCCACATTGAACGTGAAAATTACAAAGCTATTGCAGATGAGGAAACTGCGATTTTCATTGCGGTACGACAAGGTCGATTAGGTTTGGTGAAGAAGCTGCTTGACATGGGTGCTGATCCGACGATCATGAATGACAATGACTCTACTTGTCTTCATGAAGCTGCAGCAAACTGTAACCTAAGCCTGGTTGAAGAGCTCCTCAGACATAACTCCGTAGTGAAGGAGGTAAGTTAAAACAGTGCTCAAAAGGGATGGGGAAGCCAACTGTCGGTAGTGATCAGTGTAGGATACGCCAAACATTCAAAGCCCACTCAACAGATCTGAAGAGCACCACCAAGTTCAGCGTTTTATTCTAGACAGTATACAAGAGATGACTGGACCTCGGCTATCTCCCTCTCCACGTGATCCCTACGGACAAAGGCACGTCCCGTCACTTGGGAAAATTTCAGCGAAATACCATCTTTCCTCAATATTTACTCCTCTGATACGACCCCCTTCCCCATCCCGCATCCTGTCTACCTCTTCCTACCACTTCTTCGCAGTAGTTTCCAAATATACTCCAGCTCTTCTCCAAACAGCTGCCATTCAGAGGGGGGGGGGGAACCTGGAAAACCGAAGAAAGTCAACGACAGCAAAACCTTTTTCATGGGTGCATACCACGCCCCTCAGACGACCAAATACGCCCCGATCGCTAGGCATCTCCAACGGACGACATGCACTGCCTGTTGATATGGACCGGGTACAATGCCATCATGATGCTATTCTGAGTGGAAAACGAATGATTGGCGCATTCTAAGGACGATCTCACCAGTGCTTCTTACACTTCGTCTCAAACACAGTTGAAATTTTGAACGTTCTCTGATAATGTCGCACTTCAGATTGATGTGTGCGATAACAACGACCGCACACCTTTGATGCGATGTGCAGCAAATGATACGGTGGATCATCAGGTGGCAGAACTGTTGATTCGTCTGGGTGCTGACCCATCCTATCCCGGTGACAAGGTGAAGCGCAAAACATTCCAAAGTTATCACTGATGGGTTAAAATGTTCTTAACTTTAGAGCGCTCTCTCCTACAAAGGACGCACAGCACTTCACTATGCAGCACAAGTGAACAATGTCCAGATGATCGAGTTTTTAATTAGCAGAGACGCAAATAAGGACGCTCAAGACCTAGAGGTTTGAATTTTTTTTCTTATAAGGGATACTCCCAAAAAACACTGGCTCGAACTTCAGGATCGGACACCGCTCTTTCTAGCTGCCTCTCATGGCCATCTTGAAGCAGTGCAAGCACTCATTAAGGCGGGAGCATCCCTAGAAATTTCTGATCGAAAGGTAATTCAATTCGTTTGTGAAGATGAGGTTGTCGTTTACCTTGGAAAATTTCACGAAATACCTTTAAAAATGGCCGTGGTCTGCTGGAAACGTTCTGCTTTAACAAGGGTCCAGGGGTTTCATTGTCGCTAATCGTAAGCGAAGAAAAAACACATTCATAATAGCGTTGCTGTTTATCTGACGCACAACATCACCACGCAAACCCATCCTACTGCACGGGTCCCGCTTCTAGACAGCATAATAATTCTTATTTGGTAGTGACATATTTTTCAGTTGATACTAATCCTATGGAGTCCTCAGTGATGGAGTCCTACTTGAGCTTCTTTGAAAAGGAGGAAGAACTGTAGTTAGCGTGAAAGTTGTACGACTGAGAAAGAATGAGGGACCCATCAGCCCTGCCGCTGTCATTACTCCGCACCGTTCTTCTATGAGATTTCTGGAAAAATTCAATCCAAGGTGGGGAGGAGTACGTGAGAACGTGGGCGCAACGTACATCGTTCTG